TGTTTTATGTTTGCTTGCTTAGGGGAAATATATCTATATCTATTCAGAATACAAAATTTGTCTTCTGTGGTTGCTCCAGGCAAGGTAAAAAAGCCTAGTAGCTGAGCATATTACAGCAAATCCAATGAGTCAAAGCTTAGATCAAGCAAGACTTCAGGAAGGAAGCTCCAAGAACAAGCTGCTTGCTTTCCCACTTGCAGACTGCAAAGGAGAATGGACAAGACACACAGCAGCCCCTTCTCTCACATGAGAATCATTAGCATTTACAAAGACTAAGCTTTGAGGGAAAGAAAAGCTTCCAGCCACGCTCTGCAAAGGAAAACCTTCCAAACACAAGCTGAGTGCAACCAAGTGATGTGCCAAGTCTGCTACAGAGAAGGAAAAACAGAGTGCCAGAAGCTTCTTCCCCCTTCCTCAGGGGAGGGCAGAAAGGCTCAAGTTGTTTAGATCTAGCCAYATCCTGAAGTGTCTAGAAAGTTCTTAACTCTCTGTGTATGCTTACAGTGTCACAATACATCAGTACTTTGCCAAGGGCCACTCAGTTCACCATGAAGCTTTTTAATTATTTTAATATCTTGTGTTTGTTTACCTAGTACCAGGCCAARTWCTACGAGGCTGCTGCTATTCCTACCCATTTGTACTGTCCTGTCCAGAAAGCCTAGCAGCAGGAACACAGCCAGCATTTGTTATCTGCACCCAACTTTGGAGTGTTATCTCTATAAAAGATTTTAACATCAAAAACAGAGTTTCAGGGGAAGAAAAAAAAAAAAAGACACAACACTTAACATTAGGGGAACGAAGCATGTAAAGGTAAGGATCATTGAATGCCTAAGCCATATATTCGCTAAGTGACTGTAACAGTCCATATAAATTCAATAAATTATCTTTAAAATTAATTTCATTCACTTCGCTAGGCAGAACTTACTCTTGACCTCCAAGGACAAAGCAGCAGGTACAAGAAAGGAAGACCAAGAAGCCTGTAGAAATAGGCATTTAATTCTTCCCTGAAGAACCAGTAATAGCAGTGCACAGAAAGAACAAATTGTGCGATTTTTTTTGCATAATATCCATAGAAAAGTTACCACATGAACTGTTCCAAGGAAAAATAGATTAAGTCTTTATTCTCTGCTACGGGTTTCTGAGGATACCTGCCCAGGATTGTTTTATTGAGGCTGAAACTTCAGATATACCATAGAATTAAACCTTCCTGCCAGCCTCTGCCTCACTTTAGTTCTTCCTAAAGAACAGTCAGTTCACAGCCTTAGCTTCAGAGCCAACTTTGCTATTGCAAGAGGCATACATCCCATTCTCCTTAGTCTTGATTCTACTGCATCTATGGCCATCTGGAACATTCTTTTGGGAGAAAGGGGGAAAAAAAGTGTACTTAAGGCAAATGACAACTAATTCTTTCTTTTCCTGTACTTYCCCTTTGCATTTCATTTATAAACTACTTTGAAAGGCCTCCCCAAGATCCAAATTCATCCTGTTCCTAGATGCATTTCATGGGTGGAGTAAAGGAGTGGGCTAACTTTGTGCAAACCATCGTTCTGTGTGTTCAACAACCCAGTAACACAGTTGCATATAGGTCCTCACACAAATCAAATAAGGCTGTTTGACCAGGTAGCTGCTACATTTTGTTTCTGTATTTTAAGTTTACAAAGTTTAATGTTAGTGCTGTATTTGAGGCAGAGTACACATGTAAAACTCACTGGACAGAACCTTGAAATTGTAGCTAAACATTTATCTGTTAATATGTGGTTCTGCCTGCACAGGAAAAAGTTAACAGATTTAATATATAATCACTTAAAGCTCATAAATAGAAAGATCATGATTGGAAATTACCATGTAACTAGAACTTACAGGAAACAATAGGCTGCATTCAATATCTTACCTACCACACAGCAGCATAAAAAATAATGGAAAAAGTCAAAAGAAGGTTTGCTCTTCTTCATGACTGGAGAACTAAGACATGGCTCAATTGAAATTCTAAAAAGCATATATTCCTCCAAAACTTATCAGGCTGTTCATTGTTTTGAAACAACAAGCACCCATTAATATAAACTAAGGCAGTAATTAAGCTTTCAGGTAACCCCTAACATTAGTTTTCTTTTCAAGTCTCACTTCTCCCCTCCCCCCACCTCAGTGAATCTCTCCAAAGGCATCTTTTGTGGTCACCTAGCCCAGGTCTCAGGAAACACTTTGTTGTGAGCAAACTTACGATGAAAGTTCTAGAAGCCATTTCCAAGATCACATAGACCCTGCTTCGCTGTCCTGTCCTTTGTTTTCAGCCAAAGTCAAATCAAAATAGTATAAATACTTTCACTTTTTTTTTTTTTTTAAGGAGAGGCAACCTTTGCAGCAGTTTACCTTCTTTTTCCTTTACTTAACCACTAAACATACAGAATCTACTTTTTAACAGCCATTCAAACTACATTTTACTCAACTTTTTTTCAACTCCCCAAAACAAGAGCCTATTTACCAAACACAAGCAAAATCCCMAACTCCAACACGAAAATATTTATTGCTATAATATCTTACCTTCAGCCTTTTCTTTCTCCCTTTGTGCTAGAAATGAGGCTCCCACACACCATGTGCCTGCAAGACCACCAAACTCCTTCTGCAGCTGCAGAGCCTTTTTCACTGCTCTACCCTGCACCTCCTAATGAGCTAATGAGGGCCACCTGGGGCAGGCTCCACTCCTGAGAAGCATCACCTGTGCTGGACATGTTAGCTGCTCTTGCAGACCTCACATTAGCCCCTTCATAGACTTTCTTGCACATAAAAGAAGCCAGTAATGGCTGTAAAATCAATAAACAATCTTTCAAAATACTTTCCATTGTGTTTTCTTAGAACAAAATGTTTCCTTGTCAATGTCCTGACRTGAGGAGAGAGAAGCTCTCTGCAGCTCCCATCCACCAGAAGCGCACAATGATCTACAGGCTCTTCTGTCTGGTGATGCTTCTCCTGAACGAGCAGCAGGTGTGGATAGTTAACCACAGCTGACATTAGTGTTCTTGTAACCTAAAACACCTGTTGTCACTTTTGCCTATAAAAAGTATGAGCTGCCCAATAAAGGCTATTGATAGGCTCCAAAAGACTTTTCTTTGGAGGAGGGGTGAGTTTTTGCTTGATATGCCCCCAAAAGTGCATTTCACTAAAGTGCTGCAATGTGTGGGTTTTTTTTTTTTTTTAATTTTTATGTTAAGATATAGACAAGTTTTTAACATTAGTATTGTTTGGGACTAATCTTGTCTTTTATTGTTTGTCTTAAGTGTTCAAACTAATTCTCTATTTATTATAATGCTGATTGATYTTATGAATTAGTCTTTTGGGTAATACTGTATGAAGTTTTTTACTTAATGGGATTATATCTAGAAATTTCTTCCTCAATTTTTTTTGTCTTGAACCCGCTTATAGTTTTTTAATGCTAACACTTTACTATAACACTCTCATGTTTTAATTATGCTTGGTTAGCTTTATCAGTAGAAATGAAGGAACTTATTAAGTAACATAATAACTTGATAAAATTCATTAAAAAGGGGGGGGATTCATCATGTAAGATAAGACTTCCCTTCAGAGCTATCTCCTATTTATGTATTAATATACACTTTCTATTTTTAAAGTTTTTATAGACTTCTTTGTTTAAGAGGCCGAGCTAACTGGAATTTGAGTGTCATGTTGTGAAGGCCACGTCCTGTTCTAGAAAGATCTCTGTGCAAGCCAAAACTCATCACAGTAACTGCTTGTGTTCCCCTGCATCAACCCTCCAGAAATCAAGTTATTGGTAGCAGTTATATTGAAGATTACTGATGTTTAGTTTAGAAAGTGGTTGTAGGAAAACATAATACAAATGCTGGTAATGGTGGTGCAGGCTTGTATTCTATATATTAACTTATATTGCTAAATCATATATGGAAAAATATTTTTGGTTTAGTATCTTATCCTTCATCTCGCTTGTCCTTATATACAGGACAGGCATATTTGTATGAGACTTGTGATACTCAACCTGGAGCATAGACAACTTTATGTTTAATCTTTAGCTTCTCAGGTAAGTTTTTTTTTTTTAAGACAGATTTGGTCTATCCTCAGACATATGCTTCTTGGGTGTTGTGGGGGGAAAAAAAACACATAAAATATGACATATCCCTCTGAGGTTTTCATTTCAGTGATTTAGCATTTGAAAAGCCCACTTTAAATTGTTTGATTATCTGTCTTTATAGCTTATTTTCTTCTTAATTTTTATCAGTATGTTCTTAATCCTTCTGCAAAGGAATGCTTGTTTGAAAATTTTGCTAAGACATTATTTTCTATTAGGCTGAGGTTTAGTAAAGATAAGACTCTTCAAAATGCAAATCTTAATCAGATTTGATGCAAGAACATCCCTTTAAGAAGTATGCTTTCTTTGCAGTCACTGTTCCTTAAAATTAAGCAGATCATTTATCAACAACTGTTAGCTACAGCTTTTTTGTTTGCACTATGCTTAGTGCAAAGACGGTGTTCAAGAGTTCATTTCCCAAATGTTGTTTTCAGATATTACTGGGTAAATGAAGTGTCAAGATATGCTTTTACAAAGTCAAACAAATGGATCCATCTCTACAAGTCCATTCAGTACATTTTACTTTAAAATTGAGGAATAGTTGTACTTTATTTGCTTGTGGTTACACAAAAYTCTGTTCATGGGAGAAGTCAATAAGAGTTGTTAGATCCATTAATGTAGTGAAGTCTTAGTTTACAAATATTTATTATCAGAGCATGCTGTGTTCTGTGCTGATAAAGCACTGGGAATGTAATTTGCCATTTTTTTTGCTTAGTTGCAGAGTAAAGACTTACAGATGAGTATGCTTGCTTTAATCCAGGAAATTGAAAAACTTARGCACAAGCAGCACCTGTGGAATAAACAGAGGCAGCAAATGCAGCCAGAGTATTTATCCTAATGCTCACATCAGCAGGTACTACAGTACAGCCTATTGAACTTCAGCAGTTCTCATCTGTTTTCATAGGAATACACCCAGGACAGCTGATATCTCAAACTCCCTTCTCTGCACACATTCTTGCAGCACCTGCTCTGTCCCCTTTCCAGGCTGGTAAGTACTTTAGCATTCCAGAGATTATTGTAATTATATTAACAGATTAATCATGAGTTTGCCAAATTGCTGGGGTTTAGGCAGSTAAAGTTAGACAGGTAAAAAGTGTGTGTAGCTGTGACAAAGCTCAGTACATCTCTCTCAAATTTTTGGAGAGGTASGGAACATTATATATTAGAGAGGAGTTCATAAAATGTGTTGTCAGCAACATTAGCAGCAACTCAGAGCACATTAATAATGGAAAAAGGCTATTTTTAATAAGAAATGCCTAAGACAAGACCTGCCAACAAGAATGACAAAGGCAGCAATTGGCAAAGTATGCTCTTCTGATTACTTTGAAGTGTGCAAGGGCAAGAAAGTGTTATTTTCCTGGAGGTATTATCAGTTTCTTTGCTGACATGAATTTTTTTTTTTTGCTTAACTTAGTGTTGAAAGTGCAAGCTAAAAACAGGTGAGTGAAATTATTTGTTGCAACTCTGCATGTGCTTCTAGTATTTCAAGTCGTCTTGTGTGTGGTTTTAGCGTAGCAAAATGAAAATAGCCTTATCTCAGGGCGTAATCCCTGTGATACACCAGCTACTTTGTTCATGGAAGCTTGGAGAGTCCTTRATAAGTTTAAGGTCTCCTTAGAGGGCAAAGCAACAGACTAGTTTCCTTTCTTGACTGGTCTGCTCATTAGGTCTTTCTCAGCAGTTATCTTAGAGTAATTAATTTCAGAAATTTGTGTGTGTAATATCTGAAATGCTAGATGGTTATTTTACAGCAGAGGGACTTTCATGGCYGTTGAAAAATCCAGAGTGCTTTTGGTCAAACCTTTGGTACCATTAAAAATAATAAACGATGCTGACATATAATTCTGCAGCTCCAGCTTACCTGATTTTTAAATTGAGTAAAACTTTGAGAATTTTTCCTTTACATACCTCAAAAGTACCTATGTTTGAACATTGCTGTTYAGCTTATACATAAAGCAAGCTGTAGAATGATTGATAATACTTTATTTAAGGAGTTAAAACTGGAGAGTTGTTCTACTAGCTAAATTCCATTCTGTGCTCCAAGCTTTTGGCATGTTTAAACAGTAAGGGTAATTACTTAGTACAAATCTAAGACTTCAGGAGTCTAAAAGTTTGAAATAATAGCTTTMACTTGATTACAGAATTTAGTTTCATATTTTTCCTCTTATCCCTTTGCAAGGGAGCTGACCGTAATGACAACTTCAGTGTTGCCATATCCGGGGGRTCACAAAACAGTCAGGAGCGTGTTTTTTCTTGGCTTAACCTTCAATTATATAAAACAGTTTAGCTTTCTTAGTTGGAGATAGAAGATGGAATTAGAGTAGCATTGGTAATGTTCAGAATTTGCTCATAGTTCTCGAAGGGATTTCGGGAAACCCTCATTGCTTAAACTGGGAGGAATTTGTCAAAGTTGGCAGTACACTTCATTCCTTCTTGTGCTGGTACTTCCCTCTGAATTTGATAAATCCAATTTGCCTCATGAAATCAGACAACTTCTTAAAGCAGGCAATATGTATCTTAAATTGAGAGCTTGAGTCAGGCTGCCTCTGTATCTTTTTGGAATGAGATTAGATTTCTGTCAGTAAATAATCTTAGATGAGGCATCTCTGGGCTAGGGTGAGTGTGGGCTGTGTTAACACACATCATTCTTTGCAAAYCGGAGTGTGTTAGTGAAGCCCTACATAGGTATAAAGTGAACTGTGGGGGTTGGTGAGGTTTTCAATAATCTCTTTGAATTTGCTCGACAATTCCTCTGTTTTATACAACTACTCTAAGAAAAAGCCTTTCAGGACAGATTTGCTGTTTGTGCTGTGCACCATCCCTGTTCATCACAATGCTAACTTCTTTGTCTTTCCTTTCCAAGGAATGTCTCTGCATGGCCAGCCTCAAGTGGGATTGTTGTGCGTGTGTGTGTAGCACCCTAGATATAGGAAGGCAGATGGCTGTCACCTTTCTATTTTCCTCCTTACTATATGGCCTCTGTAGACAGTAGGCATTTGCTCTAATTTACATTGTCACATTATTTGAATTCATGCCCATTTTCTGTATTTTGCAATACTTGTTCTTCTCTAAAGTTATTTAGTATTTTCTGTTGGTAATAAKGCCTACCTTCTACACTGAGGACAAGTTCTGCTTTTAATCTACCTGGGGTGACATTCAATGCAAGAAGCTCATACTGAAGAGGTGGTTCACCTCTACTGCCTTTTGAACAAGCCTGATCTTTGTATCACAAAGAAGAAACATGAAAAAAAGACACTGTCATGCAAGAAAAGAGCTTTTCTTATTTAACACATACACTGCTAACCAAGAAGTGTAGGCATCACACATRAAGACATGCATCAAAATGTCCCTGGAGATGCTAATGGAAGAAAGGATCTACTGCAAAGAATCTGAATTGTGTACAGACAGATCACTAACCATATGACATAGATATGAACGGACCACTGTGTTTCTTTAGGTTTGAGGGGAAGGGGGGAAAGGACAATAAGATGAGAACTAAAATACTTCTTGATAGCTGTTCTATTTTGCCAAAGCATAAAGATAAAGAACATGATGTTCTGTTAATGTGTTTGTTATTATCAAGTAGAAGAATTTTAGTTTGGATTTTATTGTTTTTTCATGGTAGCAGAGTCATCTTTGTATGCTTTTTCAAAACAGAACATCCAAATGAGACTTATTTTGGATGGTTTATGGTTAATATTTAAGTAAAAAAAGACTGGACAATATGCTTGGAACTATTACATATTAATGAAGAAATCTTTGCAAAGAAATACTGAATTTATTTAAACTTTTATCATATTTGATATTGTGTGCCAGAGTATCTATTTGCATGTGTAGGTCTTAGATCAGGAGTGATAATTGTGAAGATATTTCAGAGGAGCAGCTCTGTGTTTTCTGCTTCAGGCATTAAAATCTATATAACTATAGTAAATAAAATTTGACCTTCTCTGAAGTTCAAACAGACCTTCAGCCTGAAGAAATGCAAATTTTTAATGAAAGGAGAGATGGGGGGAAAGGAGAGAAATTTCGCATCTTTCTAAGATGCATTGAGTCACTGCCAAGAAGGTTTCATTTGTGTGACTTTTTTTAAAGTCAAATCTCAAACATTGATGAGCAATTTCATGATAGGGGACAAGACATTTAAGGAATATACTTTCTGGAAAAGTTTACAAATGACTGAAGAGCCAGACAAGTTATATACTGAATTGGTATAATGGCTATTTCCATCATTTATGACTAAATATTAGGGTGGAGTACTCTAGTGCTCTGTGAATTACATTTCAAATACTGAATTGCAATAAAAGCCTAGCATCTTAAAGAAAGGACTTTTTTGGTATATAAGCAGGACTTTGGACTCATTATGTTTTTAAAATATATATGTGTGTGTATAAGTAGTACATAACTTATGGAAGAAGTCCAAAAATGATTTAACATGGTTCAGTAAAGATTGCAATAGTTTCCATGAAGCTCAATATAAAACTTCTGCATAAATAACAGATGTTTATTGTGGATTGTTAYATAAGAGTGTGTAAATGAGCAGATTACAGAATAAGGTTTTTAAAGTGTTTTTTAGGACTAAACTTTTATTTTTTTCCTGTGATGATGGAAAATATGCTAAAGTGACTCTATACTACTACTAATTCCTATTTCCTAGGCATGCTAAAAATTATGCTACATACAGTGTAAAAACTAATGCTATCTTATCTGATACATACTGAATTTTATGAGAATGTATTCATCAAAGAATAAGTTACAATAAAGATAAATTTAATTATAAATGGAATTCTTATCTAATGAAAAGGAAGAAAACTTTTGTTAGCGTAAACTAGTTCTTAGATATCTGATTATAATCTTCATTTTGGTCAATTTACATGATTGAGGCAGTTTCTGCAAAAGTTATGTGGCTCTAGAAACTTTAGGYGTTCTTTAAATGTTAAGTGATAACAGGTGGCTATGGATAACTTTTTACAGAAAATTTATAATCTGAGGAACAATATATGTTTGCCTCTTATATTTTAAATCAGACTATTTCTACTTGGTTTCTCAGTTTATTGAAGCTGGAAGGATTTGTCGTGCCCATTCATACACAGGGGAAGCACAGAAAGAGATTTCCTGGGTATAAGCAGGCTTGAACAAACTACAACCACCTGCTAGACTGTAAAGTCTAAGCCTCGGATTAAATTTAATTGTAGATGAAAAAAAWTTTTAATCAAAATGATTAATATTTCCTCTTTTAAAAGAGATTTTTTAAAGAGGAAATAATGTTTTAATAATTAAACATTAAATAATTGATAATTTAAAGTCATAGTTATGCTATCTTTAAATATTCATTTGACAAGAAAAGATGCTAAGTGATCCCTTTTCAAAATCTTTTTGAAGTAAGACTATATCCCTTATTCTGTAGCTTTTTCCCTTGTTTCAAATGGGGCTTTTTCTTGCAACCTGGGCTCAGTATGTACTTTCTTATTTCTGACTTGAATATGGCTGTTCTCTCTTTTCCAAAATGCAGAAACTGAAAGGATTTTTGAAAGGTTTGGTCAAAGATATAGGTGACAGCATAAACATATTAATGACAAAGCGTCTGCTTTGCTGATTTAAGATCTTGTAAGATGATTCCTTCTGAAGGCCTAATATCTCTAGCACCTGTCTGGTTCCTCCTGCAGATTGACTGCATTAAGGAGCTCAGGAATTGCATAGTCCCTATCAGGCATATCTGCGCTTGATTCTATTAACCCATTTTCAGTTCTGTCAGGTATCACAGGACAAATGAAGATTAAGATTTCATAGCTATTTCTTCACCAAATGACTTGTCACTTATCTGCTTTTCAAAGTCTGTATCAACAAAATGAAATTACAATATGCTTGATAATTTCTGCAGTACTGATGCTGGCAACAATGAAGCCTATTCCCCAAGACGATGGTTAGAGTGGCGTATAAATCATTTTTTGGTACTTTTTTCCTGTAGTTATTTTTCTATTTAACCAGGTAATTATCCTAGTCTGTTTTCTCTCAGTCTGGCTTTATCAAAGCCTTGTGGTCATCCCTGTTGAGGTTGCTACAAGAGAGTRTTCATGGTTCATGTTGGAGGCTCCAACAAATTGGGTTTGGTTACTGTTACTGCTATCACAAAGCTGAAATCCTGACCCACGTGCAGCCTTGCTGTACCCTAATGCAACAAAGCAAGTGCTCTGAAAAGAGTAATTTGATAAGTCATTATGGTTTMTCATAAGTAGTTTACAATCAGGTTAATAGATGTTTATAGTCTGTCAGATGGATTTTGGCCTAGTTTTCTAAAGAATACACATGCCCTGAGCTTTTCTCAGTTCTCCTTTCTCCTTTTCTTCTACTGCTTATTTGAATCGTGCTACAGTTTCRACCAAATTTGACAGGAATTTAAAATATTTTTAGCTTCTGTAAGTTTCACTAAAAGAAGTGCCTGAGCAGATGGGTGGGAGAAGCCAACCTTGCTGCTACAGGTAAAGGAAAATCTGCAATGTGTGTTCAGCCATGTTGCGAGAAACTCCGTTTCAGAGATATGTGATATCCCTATGGCACATCAGGCTTCAAGACTTTTACTGATCACAGTATTTTGCTTAAACTACTTATATTTCTGCTTTGGTCTGAATTACAAGTGGTTGACAAGGTGCGAAGGTGAGGAGAGAATATGTCAGGCAGCTTTGATTTAAACCTTAAATGAGGCATGAGGCAATGATGAGGTTTTTTTCTTTAGCAAAATGCTATACTTGAGAGACTTGTCTTGCTTAGAGGACAAAAATAATAACAATTGTTCCACTGAGASTGCTGTGTCACGTTTCTGCAAGCAAATTTGTGTTCAATTTGTGGTTTCTGCCTYCTTTTCCAGACTGCAGGTTATACTAAGTGTCAAGGTCTTGATAAGACAGGCCACAAAAGATGACAAATGAGAAATGCATTTTCTTCCATACTCCCTTCCTTCATCAGCTAGCTTTTAAAAACTCTCCAAGAGCAAGTTTAGCTTCATGAAAAGCAATGTCAATAGTGAAGAGAACATCTTTTCTACTCTGAGATATACCGTTCAATCACATGTCTCAGGAGCACTTGGTCCAGCTAAGTCAATATCTCTGTTTTGACTGGATTATCTGGCATGTTTCAGTGGGGAAAAAATAGGTAAAGTGAATTTAGACATTTATGAAAACATTTACAATGTAACTAGCAGATCTGTTTTCTTATCGAAATTCTTGCTAGCACCCCTTCCTATGGAGTATTGATCAAAGATAGCTGCTTTTTATTCCTTCGTAACAAATATCTCATTAACAAATAGCTATAAGAGAAATTCAAAACAGTTATGTCTGTAAAAAAAAAAAGCTGCCCTGAGAAATGTATATTTATTTCTCTCCTTATATTTATGTACTTTTTCCCATGTGATCCATTAGATACTGCTGATCCAGGTGGTTACAGTACTTAGATCTGCTATACTTTGATACTCCTGTGGAAAATCTCAGGATCCCCTTTGGAACTACCACACAATAACAGATGGATCAATCTTCTGAAATTCCTCTTGTATTTTTCTCCTAGGCTCTTACTCAGGATTACAGCTGTCAAGAAAAAATAACCTGGAGGGTAGGGAAGAGTTACAGGATTTTTTGTTTGTTTGTTTCAGTTGACAATAAAAATACTTTGGCATCTCTCTCCCAGTTAGTTCACATCACTGTCATATCTAAACTTCAAGAATCAATGTCATCTTTATTTGTTCAAGTTGCACAGAGCCAGTGTCAGAAATGTGAGCAGGGATCAAGCCTGTGCCCAGAAAGAACTGTGTTTAGTTCTGTTTTGCTCTGAACTGGAGCTATATTTCTTCTCTGTTCCAGTCACCTGTGCTTTTCTTTAAATTACACAGTCCATTATAATGACCTATGTCATGCAATGGGAAAAGAAGTAAGTTCTGATATATTGGCAAGCAAATTTGTATTTTGCATAGAGTCATGAATCATTCCTTGAATTTATTAAGAAAAGTCGATAGACTGCTAGGCAGTGTTGCTTTTCGGCAACATCATTCTATCCTCTGTTTAAGGAGGCTGCAACACTAATATTTTGTCATTTGAATGCTTCACCTTACTCATTTTATGGCCTGTGCAACAGTAATCTGAAGGTAACAAATGCCCCATTTCAGAGCCCATGTGTTTACTTGCATGAAATTTTAGGAAATGGGAAGATGAACTGTAAGCATGCTAGTGAATGCATTTTGCATGCAAATTTGCAGTGCACTTTCCCCTTCAAATTCAGGCTGGTTTTTAATCAGTCTTGTAGGGATGCATTTTAGAGCTTGCACATAGTGCAGGGGGCCTCCCATGATCCCAGGCCCTGTGATCTTACCCAGGCATCTGACAACATTTGAAGAGTTTTGCACTGTGTAAGGCCAAGAAGTGGCAGCTTCTCATGGTGTTTAATGCACTGACTTGCTCCAGTTGTCAGGTAGGAGATAGGGGAGAGAGACCCTCTACAAGCAACTTTGCCCTAGGGCCTTCTATCATCTGATTTTTTTTCAACATAAGAAAAAAGCAAAAACTTATTTTTTCTGATGGTTCTAATCATTTTACATTTATGGAAGTTGGATGTTTTCTGCTAAATACTTCTCTGTTTTGCATTTTTGTGATATGAATTAAGAAACAAAGATAATTATGCAGCTCTGTAAGGATTTTTATGCTCAGAGAAAGGTGACAATCAAATACCTTGCTATTTCTATATCTTTAATGTGCCCAAAAGTATATGGGGGAAAAAAAGCAATATTTCATTTATTTTGAAGAAAATGTTTATAATTATTTTCTTATTTTCTTTTCTAAACATATGTTCTGTGATTCTGTTAAGGGAATATGTATTTTTGAGTCATGTTTCTACCAGAGGCCAAGTTCTTGAGCAGAGCCACTTCCACTCCTGCTTGTGTCAGATCTTCAGCACTGCTCGCTGGGTGACTTGGTTTGTTTGATACCACCAGCTGGCTTGARAAGGCTTTATCCATCCATGGGGAACAGTAAGAGCCGCGTACTTCTTGTTGATATTTTATAATGGAAGTTTTCTTACTAAGCACATCAAAGTTCTTGCAATCTAAACTACTGACTTGCAACTGTGCTCATCTTTAATTTGGAATTTTTACTTTAATTTTTTTCTAAAAAGAAAAAATATTTTTGCAGCAGAGTGAACTTACTCTTTTTCCAAACAGCTGTTTAAACTTGTGGCTCTGTGTATACTTTGAGCCTGTTTTGCCCTACTCTGGTTAGATGTTTAAGTTTCTTTTGGAAAAGAATATACAGACCTAAGCAATATTTTGACTGATGCTATTGACATTCATTTCCTTCAAGCCTAAATCTTTAAAGGCACTCTGTTTCTTGTGTTCCCTTTTTCTCTATTATTATTTTTATAATACCTTCTTTTTGCCATGGAAGAAAAATAAACAGGCAACAGAACCTCCTCTGTTGGGCTGCTTGTATGCTGAACACATCCACTTTTTATGCGTTATGACTGGGACATAAAATCCAGCTGGCATTGCTTTCAATAAGGAGACATTAATCAAACATGCTTCTTTTTTAAGTAAAATTGTAAAAGAATGGCCCAATTGTGCTAACACTGAAAACATCTCCAAAACAATGAAACCATAATAAGATGGCAAAAAGCTGTGCCTTTATGAATGCATTTTTTAAGGGCATAAACTTAACTAGTGAATGTTCCTTGGTGTTGTGCAGTGTAGTGGGATTCAGCATGCAGCAACAGATGCAATGGTATGTGCTGCATGCTGATAAATGCTCTCAGTTAAAAGGGCACTACCTCTCGGAACAGGATTTAGCTTTTCATACATTAAATATGTAGCATCATTTTTCTTTTGAAAATCATGTTAAACTCTAATGTTTATCCTCTCTCTCTTGCTSTCCTTTTTTATTATTTTGCACATGAGGTCACTGTTTCCAAATTTGAAGTAGACAAGGTAATGTATGAGGCATTAAACTTTGGGGAACAATTATGAAATAGTGTACAGGCTAAGGGATCTTTTGGGTCTTTTCAGTATCTGATTTTGAAGCCTAGTTTATAGTAATAATGCTAAATAATTCTGTAGGAATGCAGCAAGGTTAGTACAAGGATAACTTAACTGTGGTAGGTTAATGGTCTCACCTCAAGTAGATAAGTAGATTCTTAATGACTTGAATTTGTGGACCTATGTGGACCTATCTTCTTGGATATTGCTATAGAACTGTACAATTATGCACCCAAAATCCTTTTTTTTTGGGGGGGGGGGGGAGCAGTGCTGAGGGCAAAGAGCTCTTTCTAAGGCTTTTTTTTTAGCTGAGTTAGGCCTTTCACCCAGTTTCATGTTAGTTTCAAGCAGCATCTATTTCAGAGATAGTCACACACATGGTCCCAATCCTGGGGAATGTTTATTTACTTTTTTCATTAAAAGTATCTGGCCCATTATGACTAGAGATTTTAATGTAATTTGCTTTTAATAACCTCACTCAATCCCTTGGTCAGTGCTGCCCAGTCCTCACATGTTGTCAAGGAAGTGGCTTCCCCTTACCTAGTGCAGCTCAGAGCACAAAAGATCYCAGTTCTTTCTGTAAGAAAGACAATATATTTACTTGAGAGAGTTCATTCAGCCCCAGGCCTTTTGTGTCTTTCTGTTTTATTTTTTAGATATCTTTTAATGTTTTGGGGGTTATATATATCCCTTGCACTTGCTACTTTACATAGTACATTATTTTTTAGAAAGAGTTGAATTTTGACTGCGACATCTGAGTTCATTTACAAGGTGTCCATAGGCTGGGAATTTTCTCATCCATCCTAAAGCATAAAGAAGATTATTATGATAGGGCAAGCTAAGTAAAAATTATGCTGGATACCAAGAAAATGGAAAAAAATAAATTAAAAAATGTTGGTAGAGGATAACAGAGAAGCCTCGTGCTCTGATAGCCCTGGAAATATGTGGACATCTGGCTAGAAAAAGAGCTTACACTTACAAATATCTTTCATATATCATATATATATCAATTCTCAACTAATAGTTCTGTAGTTCATTCTATATTTCTGTAACTCAAGAATAATACCTATGAAGTCTAGAGGAGAACATGAAGTTAATTCAGATATTTGTCTGCTGAAGGTTTGGATTTGTTGGTATGTTGGCTCAGGAGTCCATTTCCAGAGAAAAGGTGGTGCTCTGTTCCYCTTCCTTGCTCCGAGATGCTGGCCTATGCCAGCAGAAGAAATCTGTACCAGCACCTGACAAGTGCCTGCCCCAAACCCTACAGTGATACTTAATGCTAGTCTAAAAGCATCACTTCTTTGGCTGCCATCTGCAGTAGACTCTTAGACTCCTACATGGAACAGTCTCTGGAAGAGGTTAATGACACTGCTCTCCAGGTGTGTATTTCAGGAAAGAGGGTGCATAGGAAAATATGCAGTGTTCAACTCCTCAAAAAAAAAAAAAAACCGATATCTCTGAAAATTGAATAAGCAAGAAAGGTTTCATGATTCTTATATTAAGGACTCATGTTGAAGAGAAACTGACTTAAAATGATTGTTTACCTGACTACAGTGAAAGACAGCCCATTTCTGTACAGAAACACAGAACACAAATAACAGGTAATTACACTCCAGAACTTAGTGTTCAGAACTACCCTTTACTTGTAGCTGGACGTGTATTTTTCCTCTCTAGATCTTTTTATTTATTATATATTTCATAACATGCCCATTTCTCTTCCAATATATAGTTCTTTCTCTTTCAATATTAATTCTGCATTGCCTTTTTTCTAGCCTTCTAGTGCTAGCACATTTCTCTTCCTCTTCTGTAATTTTTCAGCTTCACATTGTTTGTGGAAGTAACAGTTCTAAACTTACACATAAAATACATCACTTACATCTCACCAAGACTGTGACTTATCTAAGGTTATMTGTGTAATGTGAAAAAGTAAAACCTATCCAAAAATGCAAATGGATCTACCTCTGACCTTCTGCATCTTGAATAAAGTAGAATGAAGTCTTACATACCAAAGAGAAGCAAAGGAAAATAAAGAAATCAATGGGTYATGAAACCATTTGAAATATGCAGTTAAAATATTCATTTGGTCTTGATTAAAGGACTTGAAGTAGTTTTTGGCTTTTATTAGCCCTTGCCTGTTGCTAAATATTTTTTGAAGGTTTTAATGTCCAATTTAACAGTTGATAAATATCATAGAGTTTGTCAAGGGTATAGAATTTTCTCGAAAGCTCATAAAATGTTTTCTAACACTTATCTGAGAGAAGCTCTGAAAGCGTAGGCTTTACCAGATGGTTTTTGCATTTTGAGGTTTTATTCTTGTATAAATATTTTATTAATGTATTACTATGCTGTCTTTGAAATCTATGGGAAAACTTGTAAGTCCAATGAGAGCTGACTGGGAATTTTTCTTTGGTGCAGGCACTCTTGAGTATATTTTTGTAGTTGCATTTTTTTGAAAATCAGCTAGTTTTGAAAACTGATGATATCCACATAGCATAGATGACAAGTAATATTTTTTCTTGTGTCTTAAAGGAGCTAACACCTTTTTTCTTTTTTTATATTATTTTGCACTGCTTTTCATGGAGCAAGCAACTGAACATCTGCTCAGGCAATTTCCTAATTATGTGTCTTGCCACTCTTTAAAGAGTTAGTGGCTCAGAAAAGATGGCAATATTTTGCACTCTTGCATTTTGCAAAGAACAGGTTATGTTTTTCTTAGGCCCCTTTGCTTTTAATGAACTTTTCAGTGGCTTTTCTCACAAAGCGTTACAACTAGGGGCTTAGCGGCCTTGAGCAGCATTTAGGAACTAGGAGCCTTTTTTCACTTGGCTTTGCAGATGCGAGATATATAATCTGCCAAAAGGCCTCTGAAGTTTTGCGTGATTAAATTGCTTTTCTATTTTGCAAAGCATTGTTACTGGTGACTACAGTACTCTTAGTAACAACCTGCGATGAAAAGATCAAGACTGACCCTCCCTGAGAGGGAAGTTCTGTGATGAGTGACAGAGAAGCTCTTACTAGTTAGATAAATTGCTAGTCACCCTCATGCARTGATGAGCAGTGATCAATCACTGCTCTTACTTCTAATTGAGCCCTGGTGACACCCTGCTCAGCTGTTCTGTCTGACAGGACTTATTTTTTCTTAGGCCCTAAATTGAATTTACTAACGTTTAGTAACGTCAGTTGTTAGACATCTGGATAAAACTGAGTGGCCTGTGACACCTACGCAATCAGACTAAGTAATGCAATATTCTCTCTACACTTAAATTCTGTAACAATGAGKAAATGCAATAAAATATTTATCTAGATGCTTCAAAATGTTAAAATAAATTTAGTTCCTTGCTGTTGTTTCAATTGTATTCCAGCAGTTTTTCAGTTTCAGTGTTAGCTGTTTTCCAGCTTTGAATCATTTCAAGGAATATTTTGTGTAGTGTGTATTTGGGTGCACACACATATCAATTTGTGCTATATATCTATGTGTACATAAACAGATCTGATATTTTCTCCCAAGATGCCTGCAGTCAGTGAATGTCTCTCTGTACGTGGCTCTCTGGACAGAAAGGACTGTTTACGACACGTGTGCTTCACCTTTCTGCAGCACAGGCTCTTGCCATGAGACAGCAGCATGCATCTGTTGGGAAGCTCCCTTTATGAGCAGAACACAGGGGCAGCCAAGGAATCTTGTGCTTTGCGGCATCAGTCCATTCCCCGCTGAGATTTTGGATCAAATACCTTTGTCTCCTGTTCCTCCCCTTGCACCCCTGCCCTAAAACAGCCTCTCCTCTGTCCTTGGTAAATCCTGTCTCAGAGCAGTTTTTGATTGACTGCCAAACAAAAATGAAAATTCCAGTAACACAATGTCACAGAACTGCTTTTGAGAGACCAATACTTGCTTTCATGATCTGTTAACAGCTCCCCTGCTCCCAGCTGGTTAAGTTACAAAAGGTGACTAGTTGCCTAAATAACCAGTCATCATGTTGGCATTTGCCATCAGTAATACAGGGAAAATTCATCTCACTGCTGAGACTCTTTTCCTTTTGGTTGTTTCCTATATAAATTATAATACTTAATGTGAAGTAAGGTTCTCATTTATAATGAAACAATTTACACTCTTCTGAAAAAGTGAGGGAAACTTAAAATCAAGAGTATACATTATACCACCCTGACAACAGGAAATGTAAGAATCTGAAGCAGACTTTTCTCTGCTTTTTTTTTCCTCTTAAGAAAGACTGAATGTGATTACTTTGGTTTCTTAATCATTAAACATTCCTGCAGTGAAAAGATTCTTAGTTGTTAGTCTATATGCTGGATGAGACGCTGTTCAGCATATGGATCTGAAGCTGCTGAGGTTTCATAATTGGTGCAGTCCCTAAATCTGTTCCTTCTAATAACCGTTTCCTGGTAAATCATTCCAAGTGATTAATGTTTATTCTTTGATTTCAGCAGAGTTCTAGATCTGAAAGAAAGCTGTTCTCATTGCTTTTGATCATCCTCTGTTCTTTCCACCCAATCATCACATCTGTTTACATGACTGGCATTTACAACCTCATGACAACCATAAAACAAATCCATTCTTAAACACACGCTTGCAGCCTGGCTCCCTGAACCAATGTGGTTTTGTCCTTGGTCTTTCACTTCTCTGTGCTTTGCTCAGCCCCTCTGCAACATTCAAGCAAGGGACAGCCCRGCAACGATCTCTCTTTGTCCACTGCAGGCTTTGGAGGACCTGTATTACACAGCACGACTGTTGTCGTCGTCTTTACGTGTTTCCTAATGCACATGTTTCAGCATTTAAGATGAAAAGGCAGCTCTGCTAGAGTTCTTACATTTTCGCTCTACTTTTCTCTTAAATACTGTCCTAATTTCATCCCACAGGTTGGCATTGATGAAGAGAAGRATGACAGTAGAAGAAAGAAACTGCTACACGATGACATGTTGCTCTATTCCCTTCAAGAAATATGCATCAAATTAAGTTGAAAATAGATTTGTTCTATATTGCTTTATTTAAATGTTGAAATACRTATTGTGACAAAAATACATCACAGAAATAAGAATAGGGAGCTTTCCATGCACTGGATATTTTTTCTGGGATTACAAAATGGTTCTATTTTTAAGAAACAAAGTGTTTTATGTCCTAAGAAAAATGTCCTATCATGAGATAATGTTTTATACTTTTTTAACTGTTTTTTTTAAACAAAGTCTTCTGATTCTGATGAAATCTACCCTGTTTCTTTGCTTAATTTTGCTGAACATTATTAAGTCGACAGAACGAATGCGGTCACTTAATAAAAAGATCTGCATATTTGAATGTTCTGTCTCTGTTAAAGTATCTGCTACAGTGCTGTAAAAGCATTTACTTTAATTGTACATTTTTTACTTGCTTTCTAAACTGCATTTGAGAAATGGAAGGTAATGTATTTCTGCAGCCAAAAYATTTTACCTGTGTCTAGCACATGATCTGCTCAACTCTTGTGATTGATGAGCTATAGACCCKTATTACTTTCAGGAAAATTCTATCATGGCTTAGCTTTGAGAAACATAAAACATGTAAGGATGCCYATGACTTTACAAATAAAGTCATATAAAGGCATATATTTCTAACAGGTAGATTGAAATGTTGAGACTACCTCTATTACCTAGATGGCAGCTGAGATGGCCTAATCACAATAACAAACAGTACATTTACTGAACAGGTTTATGACTTCTTGTCAAATACAACAAAGGCCAGTTTGGGATGTATATTATGAAATGTCAAATATAAAAAGATGATTCCCAACACAGAGATGAATTATAGTTTTGCCTAAGCAAGCAGTATAGGCACTGCTTAGTTTCCTGAAAAAAATCAATCACAGAATTACAAGAAAAAGACAACCAACATCTGTATGTTTAACACAATTACTGAGACTCACAGTGGCCTAAATTACTATGAGTTTTCATTTCTGAGAAAATGCTAGAAAACAAGGGTCCAGGTAGCAATTTGCTTTTATTTTTTTTTTTCCATGCTTACATAAAATTCATAGATTTTCTGTCCCTGGTTGACAGGCACAAATGGGTGGGGAGACACATGCAATGCTGCTGTCAGCTCCAACAAGAGGCGGGAGAAGCGTGTGCTGAAGTAGCTGTCAGATGCAACGACAGAAGAAAAGTGTATTTGGAGCTCCAGTATTGATCTGTGCATGGACTGCTCGAGGGTCAGATATAAAGRAAACGAGGACATTTTACTTTAACTCATTAGATATTTCTCCAAATCATTATTATTGGTGTAAAAGTAGATTTTTTTTTAATTTAGTGAACTTCCTACAAAATGGTGCTCTAGAATAGTTTCCTATCCTGCATTAGTTTTCCAGTAAAGCTTACAAACAGCTTTGAAAGTGCATGCAAAATTGACATTTGTTTCCTTTGTGGGAGAGAATGATTTGGTGGAAAGCTTCAGAAGTGTTATAGTACCCCCCAGTACGGACAAATGTTGTATGAAGTTTCTTCATTTCTGTCTACATGTTTTGGAAGGTTTGGAGGGATTAGTGAATAGAAGAGACAGCCACATCAGTTAACTCCTCATGTAATTCACATCCGTGTGCATTGATCTAGGTCTTGCTTTCTACTCTTCCTGCATTTCTTGTCATGATCTTTCCAACTGGCAACTGCAAATAACCAACGTGAATTCTGTTTTCGACCTTACCTCTAAAAAGCACATAACTCCCACTACATGGGAAACACRTTTGCTTTGACTGCACTGACATGTTTTGCTCTGCCATCTAAATGGCCATTCCTGAGGTTTGTCTGCCAATTAAYGGAAAATGAAAGGCCTTTATTAAAGTGGTCTTCTGTTGTGGAAAAAGAAATCAGAAGGAGGGATGACAGATGAGTGTCCTGCCTTTCCAAGGAAGCTGCATGTCCCCTTCCGGGCAGCCCTATGGCAGGAGGCCATCAGTGCGGCGTGGCCGAAAGGAGCTCCTTGTCTTTCCATGGGAAGTAAGTTTTCCCTTAGAGGCGTTTCATGTGACCCCGCTTGGAAACATACAGATCCCTGCAGCGCATCTCAGTGCGGATTACACAGCACAGCCCATGTCTTCAGACACGGATCCATGTCAGTTTTACCCAAGAAATGCATCTCCCAAGAACATTGCCTCCGTTGACTCATTTTTTTTCTCCTTAAAGCCTGTTTTCTCAGGGCACACCTGCCTACCAACCCAGGTCCTCTTCCCCAGACACCGTCTCCCAACAGGCTCGTGCTCCTTGGGTGCYTCACTCCCGTTTCCCCCCCGCTAGCCCTTCCACGCCCCGCACTAACACAAGGGACACGCTGCCATTGGCTCCCTCGGGAGCCTCCTGCGCGTGGGATGCGGGGGCCCTTCCGCTTCTTATCCGCGGGCCCCGCCCCGCGCTCCTGCCAGAGGGGCGGTTAAAGGGGCGGCTAAAGGGGCGGTTAAAAGGGCGGTTAAAGGCGCGGYYGGCCCATCCCCGGGGTTCCGCCGCSGCCCGTGACGCCGCAGCTCGCGATGGCGTCACCGAGGCTCCATTGTGACCTCATACCTGCGCGCTCCAGCGCGTCCCTTCCRCAGCCTCGCGCCAGTCCCCGGGGAGCTCCGCGCCAACGGCGCCAACGGCCCCAACGGCCGCCCCGTAACGGTCCCCACAGCCCTGGCGCGCGGCGGCGGCGGTAGCGGCGCCCCCTGCCGCGCGCGCTGCTGGTTGCGGCGCCTTGGGCCCGGCGGCAGGAGGCAGGGGGAGCCCGGGAGCAGCGGCGGCGGCGCCCCGGCCCGCGGGCAGCGAGCCCGGCAGCAGGCGGGGGCTCCCTGCCCGCCCGCCCGCCCGCGCTGACGTCAGGAAACTTTCTGGGCTGCTGCAGCAGGCGCGGGGCCGGAGCGGGCGCCGCGAGCCGCGCTGCCCCCATCGCCTCGCAGGTACCGACGCTGCCCGCGCCTTGAAACTTGGCGGCGAGCGGCGCCGGCAGCGGGGCCGCCCGGGCCGGCGGCGGGCGCCGGCACTCGCCGCGTTTGCCCCGCGAACTCGGAACCGGGCAGCCCGCCAGAGCTCGCGGCGCGAGGCTGCGCGCGCCTTGCGGCTCCGGGAAGTTCGGGGAGTTAGAAGCGACCGAGCGGCTCCTTCTTTCTCTGTGTCTCGTTTGGAGCCGCGAGCAGCGCGGCTGCGGGCGTTGCGGGACGCGCCGCTGCCCGGCGGGAGCGCGGCGCGGGGTCCTCGGCGGCCCCGGGTGAGGTCACTCTTTGTGGCTGCGGCTCGCAAGATGGCGCCGGTGCTGGCGGAGAAGAAGCTGCTGGGTCCGGAGGGGCCCGGCGGCGCCGAGCTGCCCAGCGAGGAGGAGGAAGGGCAAAACCTCTGGTGAGCGCCGTGCCGCGCGGGGGATGCGCCGCCCGGGCAGTGGGCGCGGGCACGGCGGCTGTTTGCCCGCCCGCGCCTGTCACGGCGGCNGCGCTCCCCGCGCCGCGAGCAGCCGCTCCGGGGACGGGCCTGGAGCGGGGCCGCGGGCCGCGGCGGGGGCGCTTGGTGGGCGAGCCTGGAAGTTTGTGGTGCAGCCCCAGCGGGGCAGGGAAAGGCGCCTTCCTGCCTGCCTCGCGCTGGGCTGGGGTCTGCGCAGGGCAGTGCGGATCAGTCCAAGGCCTGTAGAGGTTAATTGTACCCTTCACACAAAGGGATTAGTGCTGGTGGGAAGCACTAGCGCTCTGCCGTTTTGTTTTTGGAACTTACCGCTGCCYTGGTTTAGATCAACTCCTGGTTTAGAACACTCGTTGCATTTAAAAATTAAATGCCATGTAATTCTTTAGCTTGTTGGTCTTTTTTTTCTGCTTAAAAATAAGGTCTTGCTCTTTGTTGCTTAATTTCTTGTAGTTGCATTGAAGTCTTTAAAAAGTCATCCTTAGGCAGAGGTAACTGGAAACTTGTTCAAAAGCCTTCGCGTTGCTTTGGAAAGGAAGTTTTATGTGAAGGTGACTTGAAGATGATCTCTATGTGTGTCAATACCTATGAAATGTTTTAACAAAACACTTTTGGTCTTTTCAGAATAAATTTTCCAACAATTTTTACTTCTGGGAATGATTATGAACCCTGTTGTTTAAAATAAATCCTTTTTCTCTGCTTTTCCTCTCCTGCATGTTAGAATAAAACTATGATATTAAAAATACCTTTTAGTCATTGCAGTGATAAGCAATGCTTTGGAGTTTCAGACGTCTGCCATGAATGATGATGATCAAAATGAGACAAAATAGTTCCTGCCAGAAACATATTTTTGGTAATTGAGCTTCTATTTTATGGCAGTTTGAAAATGAACAGAGAAGTTCACTTTCAATTACTGATTTACTCAACTGATTGGTGGAGTGACAGTGCATCAGGCAGAGCCTCTAATGTTCAGAGATTACCCATATGCATTCAGGGAGAAGAAAAATAAAGCCGTATGAAAATGGTAATAAGTATATGATTATTAATGCTGTGCTTTTTGATATGTACCGGCACATCTAAAAATAAGGGATACTTCTTGGGCCTCCTTAAAGTCATATGTTTACATGAAGGACTTGAATAGAGAAAGTGAGTCATGAATAAAAACCTAGGAAGAGGGCACAATGCGGAAGGATGCAAAGGAACAGTCAAGTTTGTGGTTTTGAGTGATACAGGGTCAGGGATAACAGTGAAAAGAGACTGGAATTAAGAAGGAAGTACCAATCAGGTTGCCTTAGAAGTAAGGATGATAGTCTTAGACATGATATGGGTAGTAACAGAAAGCATCTGGGTGAATAGAGAAAGGAAAACAATTTTGGTTCCCGAGCAAGGGAACTGCAGCAGTGAGGTGCTACCCCGGTGTGCTGCATGCTAGGAGCACACAGTGAGAAGCAAAGCTGGTTTTGGAGGATCAAAAGGGAAGAGAGGGTTGTTGCTCCCTCCTTTGTCTTTGGCAGCACCTTGGTAATCTTTTCCAGGCTAGAAGCTCTTTGGGTTCAATTAATGTACCACTCTGCAAGATATTCACCTAGTGTAAGCTTTCAGAATTTCTTTTACAAGCTCCTGAAAAATAATATTTTGGCTTTAGACAGTGCTACCTTTCATGTAGTTACACATCTTATATATAAGTTCAGTCATTTTGAATATGGAGTTTGGCAGCCGTGTGCTTGTTTGTGTGTGTGGTTGTGGTAMATAGCACTTGTAGATAATACTGGCTGCTCTAAAACCACGTGGTCAAAATAAATCCATCTAGAGCTTGAGAGGTCATATATAGTAAACTGATATTTATATTACAGTTATAGAATTCATTTTTCTCTTAAGATGATCCCTGGACTATCTTGTTTGAACTTGTCGTAAGAAAATAAATTACCAGATGCAATAAGTAAGTGCAAACTTTAACTTGAACCAAGGGAYTAATGTGAGTTGAAAGAGAGCAAAAAATCAACCAATTTATCCTTGAGTGGTTGACATCTAATGTAATTTGCAGCAGGATTCTAATTCGGTCAGTTTTTAAAGATAGAAAGTAGTGCAATGAGAGGGTGAGAAGGCCACCGGATTCACTTCACAAAAACAGTTGATCCCCTAGGATTTGTAGCTGCTATCAAGGGTGAAAGGAAGAGCTGAGGTGGAGACCATATCTCAAGTACCTCAGCTCTTAAGATAAAAAAGATCGGAATTGATGTCTGAGTAGTGTTGTTACATAAGAACATACTAGTCAGGTATGAATAAACTTTGGCTCTCCTCCTTTTTCGCCTTGCCTGATTTTTGAAAGAATAAGCAACCCCAGGGAATCGCACTGTGTCCCAGGAGAGGCCCTGASAACACTATTGCTGTTAGCAGCACTGCCGGGGCCTCTGCGGAGCTACAGACAACATTCCCTTTGCCCTCAATGCAGCCTTTTTCATTCAGGGATAGTCATTAATATCTTTGCTCCTAACCTTGAAGGCAGCCTCCTGGCATCTCCTAACCCATGAGGTCAGATGTGGGAGAGTGCCGTGGGAGAAATATGGTGAATTTCCATCCACTCTTTTAGTCTGAAATATAGATAAGGCCTGTGTCATTTGATTGTAGTCTGAGGACCCACTAAGATTTTTGCCCAGTTCCATGGGCACTGCCTAGCTCTTTCCAGGTCATTTGGGTTTTAAAAGGGCTTATGTAGGTTACAGCCTCACCCAGAATAGCAGAAAATCATCTGAAATGCTTCATCTTGTTGGTTAGTTTCAAATGTTTGCTAGGCTAAACTCTACACTGATTGTGAAGAGAAGGAGGTGATGTTACCACCCAGGTTTTATTCAGAGGTTTAGTAGAGGTCCTCAAGACCCAGCTTGAATTGCCAGGGAAGAAATCAGGCTTTGGTTCTGCTTCTCTGCCAGCTTCAGCTAATTGCTAATCAAGAAGATGCTCCTTGTTAACATGTTATCTTTTTCTCAGGTTGAAACAATTCACTGGATTTGGTCTAATTACGTATTGGATAAAGAACGTAAAATGCAGCATTTTTTATAGATATTTCTGCTGAAGAAATGAGCTAAGTTTCTAACAGAAATTTAAATAGTGAGGCTTTACTGGGGCAAGAAATAGAACTCATTTCATAACACCTGCAGTTGCACACAGGCTACTTGATAATGTAGCAAATCAGTACCAGTAAGCCTCTTAAATACTTYAAGGACTCTATTTTTTGAACTTCTGCAAAGTTACTTTCTGTTCTGAAGGACAGACAGTAAGAAATCTGTTYGGGTTCATTCCTGAGACTCACCTAATTGCTTTTAGTCCTGTATATATTTTATGTCCAAGCTGCAAATACAGATTTGATTAAGAATCAAACAGTTCTTTCTGTTTTTGTCTTTTTCTWTTGCTTGCCGTTATAAAGCATCTGAAACATCTGTGAAGCCAAATTGTTGTCAGATTATTGTCAGTGACACTTGATCAACACTGTTGTCTTGCATGAGTCTGCACAAGTGTAGCTGATGGTAACCGAGTAAACAAATCTGTTCATGATGGTTGAAGCAGAGATTTCAGCTGGCTCAGACGTTGCTTTTGATAGCTCTGTGAACCAACTAAAACTGTGGGTGTTTTTGTTTTTTTGTCATGGGGAATGCTAGGCGCTCGTGTGTGTTTACGTGTGTGTGTGTGTGTGTACGTGCAGAGTAAGAACTCAGCAAGCGTGGCATGTAGAACTGGAATCTATGGAGTTGTTGAAGGCATTCTGGTTTGATTGTTCATGTGGTATAGGGAGATCTTGACCAGTGCAGGCAGTAACTAATGTTGTTTTGCAAATACACTTGACCTGATGCAAATCTTTTTAACAATTCCATGTACCCAATGGCTGGTGTGCTCCATGGCTGCAGTGAAGCAGGGAGTAGAGGTTCTGTTTTCCTTGGATGAGCCTGGAAAGAGATGTGGATGGAGGAGTCTAATCTCTGTTTACTGCAATGTTCTCATAATTTTGAAAAATCACATGTAAAGCTTTAAAACTAATTCAAATTCTTKTGCATTTTTTATATATAATAACTTTTTGTAAACTTTGGGATTCTCTGAGTATGTTAAGATTTTTGAATGGGATTTTTCTGTTATCTCCCCCTCCCCCTGCCACCCTTACCCTTCTCCTCCCTTTTAATGAGGCTAGTTTTAGACAAAGGAGAAAATGCAGGAGCCATATAGTGTGCAAAGCAATCTTGAGTACTACCTGCTGTGACATTTAACAGTCTATTCCCCTTTCTCATTTTTCTTTCAAATGCAAGGCCTAGATATTCAGGCAGGATAGGCCATTAAGAACATAGCCCTTGTACTGAAATTTTTCAAGTGATGCCAGATATACTAAATCACGACCATCCTTCAAGTTGTTCCAGAGCTCTTAGCAATGTGTGCAAACTTTGCTTCCCCTGGGTGAAAAGCTGAGGTAGAATAGGCCCTGTTGGGGATCACTGGCCATTTTCCCTATGGGCCCAGAGCCTCC